AATAAGGAAGACTGTAGAAAAATTGATGCATTTGAGTTATGGTGTTGGAGGAGAATATTGAAATTTCCATGGGCTGACAAAAGAATCAACAGATCCATGTTGGAAGAAGTACAGCCAGAGTGCTCCTTGGAGGCCAAGATGGCCAAACTCCGTCTCTCCTACTTCAGATATATTGTCAGGAGGGCACAGTCACTGGAGAAGGATATCATGTTTGGTAAGGTGGAGGGTCAGAAAAAAAGAGGAAGACCCCCCCCACTGGATTGGCCAGGTAACAGCATTGATAGACTCAAGCATGGCAACAGTAGTGAGATTGGTCCCGGTTTGGGTAGTGTTTCATTCTGCTGTGCATAGGGTTGCTATGAGTCAGTACTGACTCGATGGCACCTAATAACAATAACAGCAACAATCGGATATGGCACACTGAATGCACCTGATCCTGTCTGATCTCTGAAGCTAAGCAGGTTAGGACCTCATTAGTACTTTGATGGGAGACCACCTTGGAATACCAAGTGCTTATAGAATTTGGAGTCCTGGGATGCACTATGGGTTAATGCACTGGCCTGCAAGGTCAGTTTGAACTGTAAGGTCAGTGGTTCAAGCTCACCAGCTACTCCTAGGAAACCCTACACAGGGATGCTATGTGTCAGAACTGACTCGGTGACACTTAACAACAACAATCAAATATGGGCAAAATTATATGCTGATATTTAAATTAACCTAAAAAAATTTAAAAAATTCTCATGTACAAAATTTTCCTTATTAAGATCAAAATGTCAATATGAGCTATAGATTAATACAATATTAATCAAAGTACCAACAATTTATTTTGTGAATACCTACAAACTGATCCAAAAGTTCATATGGAAATTCAAAAGACCAGGAATAACCAGTATTCTTACTTTAAGGACTATAAAGCTTTAGTGATCAAGACAGTGAAAGAATCAATAAGGAGAACAATGGGGACAGAATGGAGCACTCAGAAATAGATGCATGCAAATGGTCAGGAGATCTTTGATAAAGGAAAACCGGCAACTCAATGTAGAAAGAATAATCCTTTCAGCAAATGGTGATGGAACAACTTGACATTCACAGGCAAAAAAACTGAATCTAGATCCAGACTTTGTGCTTTTTACAAAATTTATCTCAAAATGAATTGCAGATCCAAATGTTAAATGCAAAACTATACAACTTCTAGGAGATAACACAGGAGAAATCTAGGGCACCTGGGCTTTGGCAATGAGTTTTTAGCAATATCACCAAGAGTGCAGTCTAGGGGGAAAAAAAAAAAAAAAGATAAGTTGGGCTTCATTAAAACTACAAATATCTGGTCTGTGAAGGATGTGATTAAAAAAACGAAAAGATAAGAAAATATTTTTGAAATACTTATCAGATAAACAAGTTGTATCCAAATATGTGAAGAAATCTTAAAAGTCAACAACTTAAAAATAGTCCATTTGAAAAAATGGGCAAAAAATTAGAACAGTCATCTCAGCAAAGTAGATCATACAGATGGCAAATACCCATATGATAAAGCTCAAGTTGCTGATGGGAATGAAATTTGCTACAATCTTTCTTACAAATCTAAACATAAGCTTGTTGTTGTTGTTGTTGTTAGGTGCCATTGAGTTGGTTCTTACTCACAACAACCTTATGGACAACAGAATGAAACACTGTCCAATCCTGTGCCATCCTCACAATTGCTGCTATGTTTGAGCCCATTGCTGCTGCCACTGTGCCAATCCACCTCATTGGGGGCCACCCTCTTTTTCACTAACCCTACAATTTACCAAGCAGGATGTCCTTCTCCAGGGTTTGTTTCCTCCTGATAATATGTCGGAAGTGTGAGAGATGAAGTCTGACCATCTTGATTTCTAAGGGACATTCTGGTTGTACATCTTTTAACATAGATTTGTTTGTTCTTCTGGAAGTCCAGGGTACCTTTAATAAGCATACTATACTGCAATCACACTTCCAGGAATTTATCCAAATGAATTGAAAACACATGTCTACATAAAAACCAGCACATAAATGTTTATAACAGCTTTATTCAAAATTGTCAAAAATTGGAATCAGCCAACATGTCCTTCAGTAGGTGACTGGATAAACTGCAGAATGTCCATATAACAGAATATTATTCAGTGATAAAAAGAAATTAGCTAATGATCGATGAAAAGATATGAAGAAACTGTAAATGTATACTGCTAAACCAGTCTGAAAAAAAAACATATATTATATTATTCCAACTATAGATTACCTCAGAAAGGCAAAACTATTGTTGCTGTAAAGTGCCATCGAGTTGCTTCTGACTCATAGTGACCCTACGAGGGATTTCTGAGGAGCAGCTAGAGATTTAGAACTACCAATGCTGGGGTTCATTCACACGGATCTTTCAGTCTTGTGCATTGTCCTGCAATGCCCCACCAAGACTGTTGAACAGTAGAAAGAGCAGTGGTTTTGAGGGGCTCAGGATGAATAAGTGGAGCATAGAACATAGAGCATAGGTCTGTGGTTTAAATTCACCAGCTGCTCACCCTACGTAAGGTTGCTATGAGTCAGAACTGTCTTGATGGCACTTAACAACAACAACAAGGTGCCCTAAGTCCAGGATGAAGTCAGGCCAGTTTTGTTTTTCTTTTTGTTTTCAAAAAGTAATCTTCTACAGTAGCTATGACTTGCCCAATATCCCCACTGCAGTACAGAAAGAGGAGAAGGTTTCAGCATAGCATCAGCATCACTTGGTGTGGGGGCTGCTGCTGCACTAGGGAATGAACTTTGCATTGCTGAAAGTGAGACTGTTGAATGTCTATATGAGACAGCGTTCATTAATTCCACTTTATATTTCATTTCTCTCAAATAGCAGTCAGTGATTTCCTTAGCCAATGCTTTCTGAATTGTGATTGGGGTTAATTTCCAGGATCTCGTTTGGCTATTTGGACTTGGATTTGATTTGAATAGAACAAGTTTAGAGTAGCCTCAGATTGATATAAATAAATGATACAGTGATTCTGCATTGACAGAGATGCTATGCTAGCTTTTACCTATTAAAAGGTAAACATGGGCATGAGTACATATGCATAATTAATCATGGAATATTGTTCATTGCCTCAAAAAGCCAATTACAGTAATAAAAAGGCATACTTCTGCCATATAGTACTGAAAATGCATTTCAAAGCCAAATAAAAATGCAAGCAGCCAAATTAGAAAATTTGTCTGTTGGCCTGCCTGAACACAATTGCCAACAAGCTGCCTGAGTACACAATCAAGAAGTTAGAAGTTAGAACCAAAATGAATCAGCAAAGCCACTCCTTCGTTACATCATTGAGAAAAACCAAGGCATAAAGGCATTAAACCACTTGTCTGTATTCTAACAGCCTTTACATAATACGCTAGTTAAAGGCACAGTGTTTCTTGGTCATTTTTCCATAGCATCTAACTGACAGTACAGGAGTTCTATAAGCTGATATTGAAAGGACCATATTTTAATGGAATGTAATTTATTTGATATTAAATAAAGTAAGTCAATAAAATTCATTTTACTAGATAGCTTACTGCACTTTGGTAGAATATAGATCCTGTGGTCAGTTAGGGAAATGAATTAGCCATTTTTTTCCCTTAAAACAAATTATTTCCTCATTGCCTAAGTAGAAGAGTAAAAAAAACATTGGCCTGAATTAAATGTGCTAATAGTAAAAGTGTATCATACACTTCTGGAATTAAGAACCTATAAATATACAGAATTTAATGCAGTAGCTTTAGTTTAAAAAGTAATCTAATGTCCAAAATTTAATATGAGACTTTCCAAGTATTTAATAGCCTCATATGCAAGTGAAAGCTGAACAGTGAATTAGGAAGACAATAGAAGAATTGATGCTTTTGAGTTATGGTGTTGGAGGAGAATATTGAAAGTGCCATGGGCTGCCAAAAGAACCAACAGATCTGTGTTGGAAGAAATGCAGCCAGGGTGCTCCTTGGAGGCCAAGATGGTCAAACTTCGTGTCTCCAATTTCAGACATATTGTCAGGAGGGACCAGTCTCTGGAGAAAGATACCAAGTTTGATAGGGTGGAGGGTCTGAGAAAAAGAGGAAAACCCTCAGCGAGATATATTGGCAAAGTGGCAGCATCAATGGGCTCAAGCATGGCAACAATAGTGAGGTTGGCCCAGGATCGGGCAGTGTTTCATTGTGTTGTGCATAAGGTCACTATGAGTCAGTACCAACTCAATGGCACCTAACAGCAATAAACAAGTATTTAAAGCAAAGCATCAATAATTAATTTAGGCTATGATTTTTATTCCTCTTAAATAGACATGGGAGAGAATACTTAGAATATTTTACTATGCAATTGAACCTGTGATTGATACACTTTCAATAAGTAAATTAAAAAAAAGTCACTTCCAGATTTTGAAGGCCAGGATTTTTTTTATCCCTTTATCTCTATACCTCTTACCTCACACACATTCACAATTTTTATAGATATTTAGGACTGTTAAATATTCAGATACTGTCATGGAGTCCTAGAATCCTGATACGATGCTGTAGGATAAGCAAGCACTGTGCAGCTAACCACAAGGAGAGGGCTCAAACCTAACAGCTGCTCCTCATAAATCCTACACAGGGTGGTGATGAGTCAGAACCAACTCGATGGCACTTAACAACAACATCAACATCTTGGAGGCCTGTTATCATATTGTAGAATAAGCACTGGAATGCTAACCACAAACCTATCAGCCAGCCTTGAAACAGAGTGGCTATGAGTCAGACTCGAGTTGACAACATTTAACAACAATAACATCATGGAAGGAAGGCGGGAGACAGTTTTATTTTCCATAACATATCTGATGAAGGTGTGTCATAGAGCTCCTTTTTGAGATTTAGCTTCCTGTGGTGTAGTGCTGTTGTTGTTGTGAAGTGCTACCCAGTCAGTGCTGACTCATAGCCACCCTGTATAGAGTTTCTGAGGTTGTAAATCTTTACAGGAACCAAAAGCCTCATCTTTCTCCCATGGAGAGGTTCGCAGCTTCGAACTACTGATCTTGCCACTAGCAGCCCAATGGATCTTCAGAGAATAAATATCAGAGCAAACAAAACCAAACAGAACGAAACTTACCAGGCCCAACACCCAGCAAGTGTGCACCTTCAAGGAGCTGGTGTATGAGACAGTGAGAGTGCCTGGCTGTGCTTCCCACACAGACTTCCTGTACACGTACCCAGTGGCCACTGAATGTCACTGGGTACAGTGTGACAGTAACAGCACTGTCTGCACCGTGCGAGGCCTGGGGCCCAGCTACTGCTCCTTCAGTGACATGAACAAGTAAACACAGTGGACTTCTCAGGCTGCCTACCCTGACCCCCCCGAGGATCACGACAGCCAACAAGTCCGCGTGTGTACAATGGCCCAGGTTGCAAACCACTGTGAGCATGGGGGTCATCAGATCCCACAGAGATGTGCTCTCCTGGCAGCAGTTGGGGCTCCAGGAATTCACAGCACTGAGGCTAAGATCCTGTCAACCGTATATTTCTTAGTCTGAGTTCCACAAGTTTTATTCAACCTGAATTCATGCATTATAAGTTGCTTCTCATTTTTAGTGGACTTGTTGTTAGTGTTGTTAAGTGCCATTGAGTCGATTCTGACCCATAGTGACCCATAGGGTTTCCGAGGAGCAGCTGGTCAGCTTGAACCGCCAACCTTGAGTTTAAATTGCTTTGCAGTCTGGCACATTAACCCACAGTCCCACATCAGGACTGCTAGAGGTCCTCTTAAGCAACCCTTTGATTTCATTGTAAGAAAGCCTAGACTTAGGAGAAGGAGGCATGATGATTGGGTAAGAGAACGAAATAAAACACAGCCTCCTTTTAGACTGCATGGCCCACAAGAGTAGGGCCAGTTATTTTTACAGTGCTACCGTGTTGTCCATCTCTATGTGGAATTGTTAATTATTGGGGTATAGTCAGGAAAGTTGGATACTGTCCACTTTATGAATGATCCTTGGAGGTGGTGGTATCAGTTCCACCTGGCTTGTACTTTTTAGCAGAGCAGTTGTTGTTGACCTACAAGTGGGGACACCAGGTGAGGAGATGTAGTAAGCTGGAATACAGTACTAGTCAGTCTTCCCAGCCTAAAAGGATCACATCTTAACAATTATTACCTCAGACTCAAAATAAAAGCCAAGGCAAGACATGGTAATTTGAGTCTCTGGATATTTACAATACCAATGATACCTTTTCCTGAATTGCTGTTGTTGTTGTTGTCAAGTGCCATCGAGTTGGAACCGACTCATAGCGACTCCGTGCACAGCAGAATGAAACAATGTCCAATCCTGGGCCAACCTCACTACCGCTGCCACACCTGAGTCCACCAATGATGCCACCTGGCGGATCCATCTCGTTGGGGGTCTTCTTCTTTTTCTCCAGCCCTCCATCTTACCCAGCATGACATCCTTCTCCAGCAAATGTTCCCTCCTGACAATATGTCCAAAGTATGAGAGACAAAGTTTAGCCATCTTGGCCTCCAAGGAGCACTCTGGCTGCACTTCTTCCAAAACAGATCTATTGGTTCTTTTGGCAGTCCACGGCACTTTTAGTATTCTCCTCCAACACCACAATTCAAAGTGGTGTTGGAGGAGAATACATGATCTTCCTTATTCACTGTCCAGCTTTCGCATCCATATGAGGTTATTGAAAATACCATGGCTTGGGTCAGGCACACCCTAGTCCTCAAGCTGACATCTCTGCTCTTCAATACTTTAAAAAGTTCCTGTACAGCAGATTTGCCTAATGCAATACATCGTCTGATCTCTTGACTGCTGCTTCCGCGAATGTTATAGTTGATCCAAAAAGAATGAAGTCCTTGACAACGTCAATCTTTTCTCCATTGATAAGAATGTTGTTTATTGGTCCAGTGGTGAGGATTTTTGTTTTCTTGACATTGAGATGCAATTCATACTGAAGGCTGTGTTCTTTGATCTTCATCAGTAAATGTTTCAAGTACTTTTCACTTTCAGCCAGCAAAGTTGTATCATCTGATATCGCAGGTTGTTAATGAGTCTTCCTCCAATCCTGATGCCACATTTTTCCTCAAAGAACCCAGCTTCTCATATTATTTGCTCAGGATACAGGTTGAATAAGTATGGTGAAAGAACACAACCTTGTCACACACCTTTCCCAATTTTAAAACATTCAGTGTTCCCATGCTCTGTTCAAACAACTGCTTCTTGGTCCAGGTACAGATTCCTCAGAAGTACAATAAAGTGTTCTTGAATACTCATATTTCTCAATGTTGTCCATTGCTTGTCATGATCCACACAATTGAAAGCCCTTACATATTCCTGGTGTGGAGCTGTGTGTTAATGTGCCAGACTGCAAAGCTGTTTGAACTGAAACGTCAGCAGTTCAAGCTCACTAGCTGCTCCTTGGAAACCCTATAAAGGGTCGCTATGGGTCGGAACCGACTCAACAGCACTTAACAACAACAACAACATATTCCACCATTTAAATAAATGTCATCAAGAGCTTCCTGCCTTTTCCTAAACTTTCTCATAGAGAGTAAAATATACTACCTGTCCCCATGCCATATGGATTGGAATCCTACTTCATTGGTGGGATGGGAACATTGAAGTCAATGTGAGCCACTTAACAGGCTACATTAACTTACTTATAAATTCACTTTTCAAAGAAATGGTTCTCTTAAAAGTAGTTGGTCGTCAGGAGACGTTAGTTGTATTTTCTGTGCACTGTCTTCATTTGCTTTATCACTTTACTATATATTTTCCCAAATCTGTGATTTTTTAAAGAAAAACTGTACACATTCAAACTGCTTTATGACTTAAAATGCTTTAGAAGATGCTAACTCTTTTTTATCCCCATTTTGTAACACATTTAGATATGAAAAACATTATCATCTACAAAAGGTACAACTTAGGATTTTTCCATGTTCTTGAACTATTTTCATATGACACAGACACATTTCATAATATGAGTAGGAACATTATTAGAAATTATTAGAAATGTATTCTTAAATGTTTCTGTAAGTATGATAGGGTTTTGTATCAACTTGACTGGACAAGGGTTCCTAGTGGTTTAGTAGTTGAGATGTGTATCTTCGTGGTAATGAAACCTAATACAGGCATTGTTAATTCTATGATGAATGACTATGAGCAGTCAATCAATTGGAGAGATGCTTCCTTGAGGGTGTGGTTTGCTCCCAATATAATAGACACTTGAGAAGGGCTCTCCCTTGTCCACTGGGGATTTGGGACTCTACAATTATATGTCATTTCCTTGATATAAACTTCTCTTTATATACATATGTATGTTTCACTGGTTTTGTTTCCCTAGAAAACCCAACCTAAGACAACATCATTTAGAAATATTATTTTCATTTTGCTTGACTTGTGAAGGGCATTTAAGATGCAACCACTGATCTTTCCTCATCTGACACAAAGCAGAGTGAAGAGAATCAAAGAATCAAAGACTCAATTGGTCCAAAGGACTAGTGGGCCACCTTAACCACAGCCTGTGCTACCCTGAAACCAAAATAACTACATGGTGTCTGGCTACCATTACCAATAGAAGGTCCTGGACAGAGAGAGATTTTAAAAATGTAGAGCAAAATTCAAAATCATAAAAAAGATAAGACTACCTGGTCTGATAGAGACTTTGACGCTCAGACACCCATCAGACTTGGAACTGAACCCATCTCTAGGGATCAACTTTCAACCAAACCATATGAAGGTCTATAAAATAAATAAAGCCACCAAGGAATATTGCAACTCCTCAGTTCAATCAACAATATGAGACCCAAAGAGCATCATTTTCACAAAAACCTTAGAAGGTAGGAAGAGGCATGAAAGAAGAATGAAAGAGGCATGAAAGAAGGCAGGAAACCAGGGAGGAAGTGGGAAGAGCGCTGTTACACTGTGGGGACTGTAACCAATGAAACAAAACAAAATATGTAGAAACTGTTGAATGCAAAGCTAATTTGGTGTGCAAACTTTCACCTCAGCTGGAATAAAAAGTTAAAAATAAATAATAATACTGATGGAAAGTGAGGGGGCGGGAAATACTTTGCATGATTTCAGTGGCTTCACTTTTTTCCTGAAACTACCAAAGATTGCTTCAATAAAACTTCCTATCATTTCTTGAAGACATCACTTTCTTCATTTATCCCCATAGCTACCTGCCCTCAGTCTGTATTAAAGTTGGCTTATTTTCTGAAACTCCTCAGCATACTTTATTTGCCTGTACCTTAGACTCAATGGAAGTCCTCCTTATAACATTTCCAATCTAGTTAAGCACTAGTACTAATAGATTTGCCAGTACTTGGATATCAGGAATTACTCTTTCCAAATAATTTTTTACATCCAAAGTGAAATTATCAAATGAAGTAATTATTAAATTAGTAGGACTCTCATAGTAGCCATCTGCCTGTCCTTTAAAAACAGATATGTTTATATGGTTTCACTGTCCAAAGATATAAGCAAAATGAAAGTAAAAGAGATTCATGAGATGGAGACAGGATTATAGTCCAGGAGTTCATTGTCACCATTTTGCAGATTACAACACTGAAACGTGAGATCAGATAGGCTGTTTGTGATAGGACCCAAATTATTTCTATTGTAACTTTCCTTAGACTTTCTTCACCATACCATGAAAACACGTTGGCAGCCAAATTAGCTACTTTCATGGGGTTTAAAAAAAAAAATAAATTAAAGCAACACTGAAGCTGAAGGATAAGCACTGGACTGCTAACTGCAAGGTCAGTGGTTCAAACACAACCAGACACTACTTGGAAACTCTATCCAGGGTAGCTCTGGGTAAGAACCGACTAAATAGCAATCAACAACAATAACTTACAAACCCCAATAATCCATACATGTTTGTTTAAATAAAAGTATCTATAAAAAGCATACACTCACAGAAGCAGCAGTCAAGAAATCAAAGGACATATTGCATTAGACAAATCTGCTGCACAAGACCTTTTTAAAGTATTGCAGAACAAAGATGTCAGCTTGAGGACTAAGGTACGCCTGACTCAAGCCATGGTATTTTCAATAACCTCTTATGCATGCGAAATCTGGACAGTAAATAAGGAAGACTGTAGAAGAATTGATGTTATGGTGTTGGAGGAGAATATTGAAAGTGCCATGGGCTGCCAAATGAACTAACAGATCTGTGTTGGAAGAAGT